TATGTATTAATGCATTTGTGTATTTATGGACCCCATTGTAAAACATAATGCTATAGGCTGTTGTGCTAAAGGCACTAGGCACCTCGTTAATTCATATCATGCACAGACAGACAGACAGACAGACAGACAGACAGACAGACAGACAGACAGACAGACAGACAGCAGAGCGAGCTCATCGTTGGTTTATTTATTTTAGATTTTTTTTTCTAATTCGTGGGTCGAGACAGCTGATATTATATTATGTCAGAACTCAGAACTGTCTTATCACTCTCCAATTCTCCTGATCCATTGTCATCCTCTTACCGTCTAGATCTATTCCAATGTGTGTGTGTGTGTGTGTGTGTGTGTGTGTGTGTGTGTGTGTGTGTGTGTATGTGTGTGCCGCACGCATTTAAGTTTTCCCTTTCTTTTACACGGATTCATCTTTTTCACGCGTTATTTTCTGTGTGTAGTATAACTTACTTTGGAAAGAAAGATAAAAACACCAGATGTGAGAAAATGCCAAGTGGCACGAGAACTACACGCCAGTCAAAGTAACCCAGACGGCGGTGGATCAGAGCTCTGACTCAAGGCTCATGCTAAGAATTTTCTCCTTGACGAGTGAACAATTACTCCTGGCTTCCCACTCACGAACAGCTTGTGAAGTAGAAAAACTATGCTCACCAGTGCTAATGAAGCAAGGTGAACTGGTAAATGGTATAATATATTTATCTTCGCACATTGCTCAAAAATTCTTCACAAAGCAAGAAGGAGCAAGGTGGTCTGGGATCTGTCTTTGATTGTGAAATAGCAGAATCTTCTCCTTTCTTGTGCGAATTTAAACAAAGATCCACGACTAGGTTGTATAGCCTTGTGTCACTCACAATATCGTTCAGCGTTCAGTGGAGGTCACAGAACGAACTTATTCAATATTAAATACTCTATAATAGAAAATCGTCCTTGTTTCCAAAATTACACGAGATAAGATGAAAGGTAACATCTCACAATAACGTTGCTTTTGAATGGGTAAAACGTTCATTGTCTTTTTAAACATAAAACGTTAGAGTTCCTCATCATTTATATCTCTGGTGCAGTGCAGAAGCTGAAGTAGTGGTCAGTGACCTTTTTGAGAAAAAGTTAGACAGTTAATCTAGGAGAGGAGTTGTGGTATCGGGGAGAGTAGATTTGGGTCCCTAAAGGAGATTCCTGCATGCTAATTACCGTCTGGCACAACCACCGAGCGGGTCAGTCTGACTGAAACAAAATCTCTCTGGTGGCTGCGGAGAAAGGAAGCAGTCTCTGTCTCCCTGCTGAAAGAAGAAACAAAAACTCTGATTCAATCTAAAGGCACGTCTCGGTTTCTTACTCCGTTGTTACTTTAGATTTTACTCTTCAGTAGAAAAACGATGTGTTTTGGATGGAATTTCGGGGTTCTGGATACTGATACCTACCTTCTTATTGCTTTCGTATGTTATTTTTCTGACTCTTTTTACTTAATGAGGCGTTGTGTGCTGTCACCTAAAAAAACTTTAGTCAAGGTTATGCATTCCCAGGATTACGTAGACCTTCAACAGTAAAGTGCGTTTGCTTTGGCCGTACCCTCCCATCGTTTAAGTTCGGAAGAAATCCGTTATACCACTTTTCTAATAGATAAAACCAATTTAATAGGAAATAGCTAGGTCATCTTCTGACCAGTTTCAACCAAACTTCAGGCAATTAAAATTCAACTAAGGGAACGGCAAGTTTTGGTACCCTAAATTCACAACGTTCTATCTGCTTCGTACCTAGTTTGGAGAAATTTGACATTAAAAAAGTTTGAGTTTCACAACATGTCAAACTTTTTTAAAATGGAATTCTTTGAATGTCTTGATAACAACCCCGAATTGTCTTACGATTTTGATATAGAACATTAATTGGTTTCTGACCTCACGGTCGTAGTAACTCTAAACGGCCAGAAATGTCAGATAGAGCTTTGTAATTCTAAGGTTGCGGTTTGTCAATGAGGAGAAAATAGATTAACGTGTTGGAGAAATATATAGATTAATAATATTTTTCTTTTCAAATTGAGTGAAACACAAACTGTTGGAACTTTTTAGAAATTAACCAAAATGTGTATATATACATTAAAGAACGAGTTTATTTTAGACTGGCATTGCCTTATAAACGCAGGACAGGTGGTGGCTATTTGAATTATATGCTCTAGGTGTTGACCATTCTACTCCAGGCAAGCTCAAATAGGCAGCAGGAAATTTTGAATAACCGTGTAATACGTTTTACGTCATATTTGTTGATTTCATCTTCTGGATTGTTTGTCGGCTGTTTCCGAAGACTATCAAAAAGAGAAAATAGACGAAGAATTCAAGTTGTGAGAATGCGGTGTTTCATTTATTTGTAAGCATTCTTGCAAATACGCAAGGACCACTGTTGACGTGCCAATGGACCTCTATTATGTTTTCAGTTCGTTGCATTTCAGTCGCCTTGGGAAGTAATTATAAAACAATTTACACCACCATGGGACACG